CATTCCTGCATTCAGTTATTAGCATTTACTTCTGAAACAATTGGTTTAATGTATGAATATAATTGATTTACAAATTTTATGCAATGAGTGAATTGCTGAGTTTTCATAGCAAATTCATGATATTTTTGATACTGATAAAAAGTATCAATGGATTATTGTATATACATGCTAAAGATGTGGCATTTTTTCTGAACCATAATTAGGGTTTAGGACATCTGGCGTGTTCCCTGTTACTTTAACATATTGGGTTCACTTTTATAGAGAAGTGGGAGATAAATCCATCTGAACTGACTTGTATGAAAGAACTTGGCCGTGGCCAGTTTGGAGTGGTTCAGCTGGGTAAATGGAAAGCACTTGTCAAAGTTGCCATTAAGGCAATCAACGAAGGTGCAATGTCTGAAGATGATTTCATCGAGGAAGCTAAAGTGATGACGTGAGTACAACAGCTGCTTTGTGCTTGGTGGAATACCTGACACTAATAGAAGTTTGTATAACATTATTTAATGAGTACTACCAATATACTTGATGTTGTATAATGCATGGAAGCTATGCAATGAGTTTGCAACGGAAGTTGAACCAGCTACACAGTATACACACCTCATACACTAGGTATGAGATTGCATCTTTAGGTCACATGCTCTTTTCAGTGAGAAAGCTGAATAGGGACTGTGCACTGTTAACTGATCCTAGAACACTTGTGCCATCCCCAGTTAAGAGCTTCTGCAAATACTGAGAAAATGTAGGCCTGCTTCTTGCACTTTCCTCATGTAAGCAGCTGCATATCAGGGTGAGGTCATAGCTCAACCCCCCTTAGGATGTCAGTTATCATACAATTCATGGAAGTCAAGGGCAAGGCACTTAAAACGCCATTTTTCAGGGAGCTGGGCTGAACCCATGATTTGTAGATGTCCTGGTGTCCCATGAATTCCAAAAGTCATGCATGCAGCTGGGCCGTCCTGGGGTGGGTTGACAACTGACCCACCCCAGCAGCCTGGGGTTTTGAACTCACCCAGGACTGTTGGGACGCTGTCTTGAACTATGGGAGTGGAGGAATTCTAGGGCTCATCTGATAATCAAATGATTGTTGGACTGGCTCTGAGAGCCCAGATCTGGAACAGAGGAGCCCAGGGTCAGGGACAGAGCCACCTTCTGCTAGATTTGCTATATCTGGCTCGGAGCATCTCAGCAGTGTCATGACTGGGACCAAAGGAATTTTATGTCCCATCCCAAACCTTGCATCTCCTTCCATGAAGTCTAGTATGGCAGGAGGGGTGGTGTTGATTGTTGGACTGGCTCTGAGAGCCCAGATCTGGAACAGAGGAGCCCAGGGTCAGGGACAGAGCCACCTTCTGCTAGATTTGCTATATCTGGCTCGGAGCATCTCAGCAGTGTCATGACTGGGACCAAAGGAATTTTATGTCCCATCCCAAACCTTGCATCTCCTTCCATGAAGTCTAGTATGGCAGGAGGTGTGGTGTTTGGGATGCATCGTAAAGTTATTCCAGTCCCATCTGTGCCATTATTTTCATATTTGTCAGGGGCCTTAGAAACATAAAGACAAGGACTGAGCCTGGGCCATGTACAAGTAGATGCAAAGAGAGAAGAGTGAAGGGAACTTTATTTTCTTCCAGATTCACTTCCACAAAACTACATACAGTCACAGCCTGGATGAAACTGAACTGAATTGAAAGATCCAAACTCTGTGCAGTATATATAAACTATCAGTGGATTATCAATGAAGGGAACATTTTGCAAAATACTTAAAAAATTATTCTAGCAATCAGAACTACTGTAATTGCCTGTTAGTAGCAAATATCTACTAACTGAAATGTGTTTTGTCAACAGGAAACTGTCCCACCCAAAGCTAGTACAGCTATATGGAGTATGCATACAGCACAAGCCTCTCTACATAGTGACAGAGTTCATGGAAAATGGCTGTTTGCTCAATTACCTTCGGCAAAGACATGGGAAGCTTAACAAAGAAATGTTATTGAGTATGTGTCAGGATGTATGTGAAGGGATGGTATATTTAGAAAGAAAGAAATTTATTCACCGTGATTTAGTAAGTACAGCAGGTCCCCTGCAATTTGAACTGTGTAATGATAAAATAGACATGGCATTTCATTTTGTGGGCAAGTGATGTATTTTATGCATCTTGTTTAACCACTGTAGGACCTAATAAAATAACACAGTATTATTTTAATGAATTGGATTCTGGCAGGGAAATACAAAATTTCAACTGCTCACTCACTTTATTATGGTTTGTGGATTTTGTAATATTAAATTTAAAGTATTAATGTGTGTGTGGGTGTGTGTGAAAAAGGTTGAAAACCCCTGCCTTAAACCAACACAGCTACAACCTACAGCCCTGTATATATACAGGCTGTAGGTTGTAGCCGTGTTGGTCTAAGGCAGGGGTTTTCAACCCCTGTAGGTTGTGTGTGTGTGTGTATAGATATATATATCTACACACACACACACACACACATATATAGAGGTGTGTGTGTGTGTGTGCACACACACACACACACCTCTATATATGTGTGTGTGTGTGTGTGTGTAGATATATATATCTATACACACACACACACAACCTACAGGGGTTGAAAACCCCTGCCTTAGACCAACACGGCTACAACCTACAGCCTGTATATATACAGGGCTGTAGGTTGTAGCTAAGTTGGTCTAAAGCAGGGGTTTTCAAACTTTTAGGGTCAGTGTAGCCCTGGTGGCTGGTCAAGAAGGCAGTAAGTGCTGCCGGTGGAAGTGCTGCCAGTGGTGGCGGTGCCTGCTGCCAAATACCCGCTGAGGCCATCCCAAGTACCCACAGGGGTACCCCCAATTGAAAACCCCTGGTCTAAGGACATAGGCAGACAAGGTTCTTTGCGTGAATCTGATATGTTGTATTAGACCAACTTAAATAGTTTGAAAAAATTTTCTTAGCAAGCTTTTGGGTTTAAAAACCTTTCATCAGGCTGAGGAAGCATCTGTAGTTGGTGTGTGTGCTCTTCCTGGATGGAATGAATAGTAAAGAAGCCAAAGGCTGGCATGCATGCATGCAAGAAGGCAGTCAGTGAAGATGTAAATTGAGGATTAAGTGGGTGACAGACAGGTGTGGGGGTGGGGGAAAAGGGGGATGAATGTAGCAGGTAAATAGTGGAGAGGTACCTGAGGAGTCAGATGTCAGGCAAGTTATAATGTGTCATAAATCCAATATATATATTTAGTCCATGATTTTTTGTATCCAGGAGGTTGAAGTAAAGTTCATAGGCTCATCTGTGAAAAGTGTTCTGTAAGTTCCCTTTGAGGATTAGAACTGAGAGACTGGAGAGAGAGTGGTTTTCTTATGAGAAATGTGCCCCCACAGGTAATTGGGTATTCTTGTCTTTGACAGATTTCCGGTGTGCGTTCATTCTGCTCTGTGTTTGTTGTTTGGTCTCTCCTACATATTTTCCATCAGGGCATTTGGTGCATTGGATGAGATATATTACATTTCTGGAGGTGCAGATGTAAGGTCCAGGAATAGTGATGGATCTGTTGTGGGGTGTAGTGATTGTGGGGGTGGTGGAGATGTGTTGGCAGGTTTTGCATTTCTTGTCATGGCACGGTCTGGATCTATTTGGTGTGTTCTGGGCTGTGGGAAGTTTGCTGCTGGTGATGAGGTTAACTAGGTTTGGTGCTTGTTTGAAGGCTAGGATGGGTGGTTCTGGGAAGATCCTTTTAAGAATTGCGTCTCCTAGTATGGGTTGCAATTGTTTGAGGATTTTCCACATGGGTTCGAGGGGGGGTGATGTGTCATAACCAGCGGTGTGCAATTTGTGGGGGGTTTTCTTCTATACTGCAGCAATTCTTCACATGGTATCCGGGTGGCTCTTTCAAATGTGCGATCTACCTCTCTGGAGGAGTGTCCTTGTTGAGTTCCTTTCTTGCATGCATACCAGCCTCTGGCCTCTTTGCTATTCATACCATCCAGGAAGAGCACACACCAACTACAGATGCTTCCTCAACCTGACAAAGGGTTTTTAAACCCACAAGCTTACTAAAAAAATTTTTTCCAACTGTTTAAGTAGGCCTAATAAAAGATATCAGATTCACCCAAAGTACCTTGTCTGCCCACACACACACACACACACACACCCCTCACTATAAATGTTTACTATAAATGTTTACTGTTAATTAGTGACTTTTCAACAGCAGCAATGTCAACAGAAATTAATGACTGCTTTACAAGTCCTTTTAAGTAAAAGATACTCAGTCACAGAAACTTGAAAACCACTTAGAGAGTGAGTGAAGTTAGAGAAAATCAGTGTCAGGGTGGAGTGATAACTTGACTAGAGGTGTCATAAAAATGTATCAATGAACCAATGATATAACATAAACACTGCAGTAACAGGAGCAAGATGTCCTACTAAGACTATCCTGTGGTTCTTTGGGTGCATCTACACGTTCATTAATGCACCATAATTACAGCATATTAAGTTTAGTACCTGTAATAACAGGTACTAATTTCATGCTCTGTAATTGGTGCTGCTGTTCAGTAGCACCAGCATACAGTTTTCATGTGACACTAATGCGTAACAGACTAATTCTATTGTGCATTAGCATGGCTTTTGCCATGATGCGTTAATGAGCAGTAGAAATAGTCCACCATGCATTTAGTGTCTCTTGTAGATGTTCCCTTTGAGAATCTATTCAACAAAATCTCTTTCTCTGACCATCCCTGGCTCCCCTACCTTTTCCTGCTAACTCACACACCAGTTTCATAGTTTCATAGTAGCTAGGGTCAGGAGGGACCTGAACAGATCATCTAGGCTGACCCCCCTGCCACAGGCAGGAATGAATGCTGGGTTCACAAGACCCCAGACAGGTGATCATCTAACCTCTTTTTGAATTTACCTAAGGTAGGGGTGAGGACCACTCCCCTAGGAAGCTGGTTCCAGATTCTGGCCACCCTAACTGTAAAATATTGCCTCTTGATCTCTAACCTAAACCTATTCTCCATCAGCTTATTACCATTGTTCCTCGTCATCCCTGGTGGTGCTGGGGAGAAAAGAGCTCTTCCTATTTGCTGATGATCTCCCCTGATGAGTTTGTAGGCAGCCACCAGGTCCCCCCTCAGCCTCCTCTTGCCGAGGCTGAACAGGTTCAGGTCTCTCAGTCTCTCCTCGTAGGGCCTGTCCTGCTGCCCTCTCACCAAACAGGTGGCCCTCCTCTGAACTCTCTCCAGGCTGGCCACATCCCTTTTGAAGTGCGTAGACTGGCTTGAGATGCATCTTTGGATGCATGAAAAGGTATGGCTGGCCTTGCTGGCTGCGGTCTGCCATCGGCGGCTCATGTTCATCTTGGAGTCAATAATGACTCCAAGATCCCTTTCCACCTCTGTGCTTTCAAGAGGGAAACTCCCCAGCCTGTATGTATGCTGTGGATTCCTTCTCCCGAGGTGCAGCACCCTGCATTTATCTACGTTGAACCCCATCCAATTCTCGTCTGCCCATTTTTGTAGTCTGTCTAAATCTAGTTGCAGCCTCTCTCTCCCTTCAAGTTTGTCCACCTCGCCCCACATCTTAGTGTCATCAGCAAATTTGGACAATGTGCTTTCAACCCCCTTGTCCAAGTTGCTGGTGAAGATGTTAAACAGTGCGGGCCCGAGGACTGAGCCCCAGGGGACCCCACTGCTCACATCTCACCAGGTTGAGTACAACCCGTCCACCACTACTCTCTGGGTGCGCCCCATCAGCCACTTTTTTACCCATCCAACTGTGTAGGCATCAATGCCACAGTCGCTTAATTTATTGATGAGGATGGGGTGAGAGACGGTGTCAAAGGCCTTCTTAAAGTCTAGAAAGACTACGTCCACAGTGACACCATCATCCAAGGATTTAGTTACCTGGTCATAAAAGGCAATCAGGTTGGTCAGGCAGGACCAGCCTTTGATGAACCCATGCTGGTTGCCCCGAGCATAATCTCCCCTGCAGGCCCCCCACAGATGTGCTCCTTGATGATTTTCTCCAAGATCTAAGATTAATTTTCTCCAGTTGCTGAGATTAATTAATTGTTCTCCTCCTCCATCATCATCATCCCTTCTAGGCTGAGGGGCAACAGGAGGGGGACATTTATTCTCTGTTTCCACCTTATTTTTGACTCAGTGCTATCTGGCTACTGGTAGGAAATCTCTTCCTTTTTACACTTCTTCCTTTATTGGCTGCTTGCAAAAATGAGGAGAGATCCTTTGAGCTTTTATCCACTTGCTTTGCATTGTGTGCAATAAGTGTCAGGCAAACTGTTCATCGTAAGGTTTGCTCACTCTGAAATTAGAAAGAAGGGATATAGTCAAGTCCGTGGTCATGGCTCCAATACCTAAGGGGTAAACCATGAATTTCTGACTTCTGTTCACCTGCGGCTATCATTGTTTTTCACATTTAGAATAAGGTACTAACTCTAGTGTTCAATGCAAATTTAAGTTTGAATAGATTCTGCACAGTGCATTTTCTTTGTAAGTGAAATATACTGTAAATGTCACTGGTCTGACAGGTGTTACATAAATGTAAACAAATCATTATTAGTAGTATTAAAAATTGTTCAGTGACTTGAAGCATTAGCTTTGCTTTCATTTGATTGTATTTTGAGGTACACATTGAGAACATTTAAGCACATGAACCTTTTCTGAATAATTGTTTTTGCATTTTTATCAGGATGCTTTAGGACAGATTTCAAACATGTTTCTTGTTTTCCTGCAGGCTGCAAGGAACTGTTTAGTCAATGCTGAACACATAGTTAAAATATCTGACTTTGGAATGGCAAGGTAAGCAGAAACTCTATATAATAGCTGTATTTAATATTAAACTCTACTGAAATGTTTTTAACCAATAATACTTATGGCTTGGATTAATCTTATTGTTTGCTATAATGGTTTGGGGAATTTATCTGTACAGAAATGTATTAATTCTAGATGAACGTATAAAGGTCTCATTATAAAACTGTAGCAGCATCAATTATTGCAGCAGGTTTGGTATCAGCCATTTGCTATCTGGGCTGTGGCACATTCATTAATAAACCTCAATGACACTTTATTCAGGTGGAAGCATTTTAAGATAGTGGGCTGGTTGAAGCTGAGAGAAGATAATTCCCCCAACTTCTGTGCACCAAATAGAAGGTGGAAAATCCCACCAGTAGAACCAAAGCACTAATATATTGGAGCTGGCCTTTAAAAGCCACATAGGCTAGATAGGTCAGAAAAGATTCAAAGACCCACACAGGAAGCGTGGGCAGGAGGCAGGAAGAGGCGCGTGCTTTTGCAGTAGCAGAGGGGGTTTCCTGTTAATGAGAGGAGGTCAGATCCTGCTGACTTGGAAAAAGAGAGGTAAATGAATTCTAAATAAAGTGGGGAGAGATCATAGACAATCATATCAACTTAGTTTTAGCATGCTAAGCTAAAGACTCCAACATACTTTCTATTCCTGTTAACTAGGAAATGTTGGCTTGTTAAGGAAAGGTTACCCGCTAGCTGCTTAACTCTCTGAACAAATGAATTCTCTCTCTCTTTCTCTGGAGCCCAAACTCATTTTGATCAACTGACAAACTATAATGAGAAACAGGAATGCACAGAGGGGCCGGTTGTAAACCCAGAGGGGCCGGTTGTAAAATAGTGGAGCTGCAGAGCTTGCCTAACAAAATGGTGGAGGCCTCCAGCACAAAAAGCCTGTACTCTTCCAAGAGCCCCTATATCAGTGATTCTAATAAAATTAATAGTACCAGTTCTTCTGCTTGACAGACTGCAGGTTTATGTCTGTGTTAACTGTGTTCACGTTGTTATAATACTGTATATGACTCAGCTTACCTTATTTACCTATGCATAAAGAATTAAAGGTTAAGTGCAGGGGCTGGTTATATTCAGGAGGAGACAAAATGGTCCTTTAGCATCAAGAGAGTCTTGAATGACTTTTTTGAGAGATGAACAAAGATGGGATGCCTGACACCCAGGACATAAACATGATAGTGGGACAGCAGGCTGGAAAAAAGCAGCTCCTGGCCAGAAGAGTCTGGGGACTGAGAGAAGTGGAAGAGCTCTGGGAAGACTGGAAAGGGAACAGCTGAATAGCCTTGGGGTGCTCAGGACTGTGCAGGCTAGATTTGAAATAGAGGGGCTACTTAACCCCATTGGATGGGACAGAGAACCTCTGGCCAGGTGGGTTTTGCTGCCACAAATGCCTTTACTGAAGAGTGGAACTAGATGCTCATTCCTTGAGTCAAGGCCACAGAGAACTGGGGAAGGTGAGAGATCAAAAGGCCAGGGAGCCTGGGCTGCTCCCAAGCTTGGGCTGGCTTCAGGGGACTCTCTGAGAGACCAGGTAAGGTTGCAATGGCATTGAGCAAGCATCTGCGGGAGCACTAATGCTTTGCACATAGTTATTAGATTATCAATTACTTGTATAGTTTAATATTGGAAGAAAATATGGACATGTTGTTCAGTGCATTATACTGGCAGGCACAGGGGCCAAATTGAGGGTCCTTCGTAAAATATGGCCCTGTTGTTTCTGTGTCTGTCAGTTATAAAGAAGATTTTCAGCCCAGGTGAGCTTCACACAACCTGTACAGGTTTGACCGGAGAGAATTACCCTTTCAGCATTCAGGGGCGCGGGGTTGGGGGAGTTGCCTACACGAGAGACAAGCTCTGACTGGAGTCTTGTCTGTAGCAATGTTCACTGCTCTCACACTAGTCAAGGAAAAAGGCAGGGTATATTATTCATTTGCTGTGGCCTCTGGCATCATTTGTCAGATACAAAAAAAAAGCCTCAAAAATCAGTTTCAAGACAGAATAATGTTTTGTTTAAACCTTTTTAATAGAGACAGTTATTTGTTGTTGATTTACTTTCCAAGAGTAGAGATATTTTTTTGTAATATTCACCTATCTTGGCGAGTACAGTTTATTGAGATGTTACCTTCATTATTTTCTAAGGGATGTCTAGCATTTTATTTAGAACGATGTAGTGAAAATATGCTACGGGAGTTCTGTTCAACCAAATCCCAAGATTTAAATAATTCCTAGCGCAGTGTTATCTGCCCAAGCGGTTAGCTAGTCAGGAAACATGCACAATTTTGTTGACAGAAGAGGTTAGTACAACAGTTTTATCAGTAATGGGCAAAGAACTGCTTCCTTTCTATACTCCCCAAACTCCATAATGTTCTTGGATTTATGTAAAATTCTACATTAGAAGATTGTGGATAACAGATAATTACTTCTGGTTTATATTTATGCAAATGAATGGAGAATGAGGCTAACCTTATAAAAAGCAGTGGAATTACTTATCACTATAAAACTTGTATAAATGTAAGAAAAATCATTTTTTGGGTATGTTCATGTGGCAGTTGTAGTACTGTCTAGAGATATCTGAGCCAGCTCTGAATGAGTGAGTTCTGGTGCTGGAAGCATCTTAGCCATGTTAGCATAACAATCTAGCCAGGTTAATATACCCTGCTTCTCAGCAGGACTAAGTAAACCAGGTGGGATGGTGTGCTTTTTATGTGGCTATACTGTTTTCAGTACCCAAGCTGCATGGATATACCTATGTAGTATCTGGGGTGGATAAGAACTTGGAGTTCAAAATCAAAAAGTAGCTAAAGCATCTTTGCCTTTAATCTAGGCTAGAATTCTTAACAAAAGGTATTTTGACAGGGGCACAACAATTTTCCAAAACAATTTTATGTGCTCATATAATTTCCCATCTAGGGAAATTTCACCTAAAAAATTTACCCAATACAGAAGTTAAAATATATTTGTTATCTGCTTTACTTTAGGTATGTTCTTGATGATGAGTATATCAGCTCTTCAGGTGCAAAATTTCCAATCAAATGGTCATCTCCTGAGGTTTTTCATTTCAAAAAGTACAGCACCAAATCAGATGTGTGGTCATTTGGTGAGTGAGTTGGTTTAATTTGTAACACATTACAATTGTCATAAGCTGCTTGGTGTTATTTAGAAAATCATGAGAAATCACATCTCTGATAAATTATTTTGCTGCACAGTTCCACCTGTTTTCTAGTTTGAATATGTCAGTTTCATATTTTAATTGTGCCTAAATTGTAAGAAAGTCTTGGAATATGGGGTGTAGTGCTTTGTTGATATTGGGGCAGTTGGATTTAGTTATCTTCTTACCTGCAATAAAGGTGATGCTGATTTATATTAGATGAGGATTGGTTTGGTTTGGTCATCACCATTCAGTTCAGAAATAAAATGTTCCCATTCAGGAGAAATATTCAGGACCCAATATAGCTTATTTTTTGCTGTTCATAAAATCATGAAATAGCTCTGTAAACTTAGAAAGAAGTTTTGTGGTTGTTGCTGTTGTTTTTTCCCCTAGGAGTTTTAATGTGGGAAGTTTTTACAGAAGGAAAAATGCCTTTTGACAGTAAGTCAAATTCTGAAGTTGTCCGTGAGATTTCTGAAGGATACAGACTTTATCGACCATATCTGGCCCCACTTCCGGTGTACAAAGTCATGTACAGCTGCTGGCATGAGGTTTGTTTCTCTTACTTCCTGTTCTGCATGCTGAAATATGTTTTTTATTCCAGTAAAGACTCAAAGGCAATTCATTGACAGTAGGTCAATTATACACACAGTAGTGACATACTTAGTATCTTTGATGTGCTTTTCATGTATCCTGGCTAAGCTTAGAAGCTTCAGTTTATTTTAATTATTGACAATAATAGATATAAAAAACTTCCATTCCCTCATTTATCAGTCAATTTGACTATTTTACCTCCTTGTTTAAATCTTTCTCAGTATTCCACAGAGGCACAGTGCTTCCCTATCACAGCAACTGCTCTGGCAAGATAAATATTGCTTAAGAAATAGATTTACATTTCAAGATGCCTTGTGGTCTTGGTGGTATTTTAGAAAACACTCCAATCTCCAAATCCATGGTTTTCCTTGAAGTGGCAAATGTATAGCTTTTCTTTCATCATATGTACACGCATGACTGTTCTAGATAGCGTGCTAATAAAAGGTTGCTGCTACATCAGATCATATATGAATCTACAAACTCTTAATATAAACTTGTCTTCTGCTTTGCTTTTCAGAAACCTGAAGGCCGTCCTGCTTTTGTAGAGTTATTACAAACCCTCACAGATATAGCAGAGACTGGATAACCCGAGGTTCCATACAAATCCATTTTTGTTACAGAATTAACATAAAGGTCCTCCATGGAACGGTTGATATAGTTATCCATCTTATCTGGTTACGGTATACTCAGCAGCGGTTTGGATACTGATGACTTGCACATTCAGTTAATTTCCATTGTTAGTGTTTATCAGAGTTTTGGTCTGTTGGAAGAAAATAGCTCAGGAGATTGGCAATGGGCTTTTAAGCTTTTTTGCTTCCACATTACTCAGTTCAAACCGAGTCCAGATTTGCCAAACAATTAATTGCCAAGTTTGTGGCAATCAGGTCTTGTACACCATAAGGGAGGAGCCAGGTTATCTTGTGGTTTGGGACACAGAGCTCCAAATGATACCTTTTGCTTTTTATGGCACACTAAATTCTGCAACAGTGCCACTGATTTTGTTAATTAGCATGATTGAGACTGGGAGATAGGGCTGGATGGCTACAAGGGAGACTTAAGTACCCGTAGTGAACCTCTGCAGAGTAGTGAGCTGCATTTGAAGACATAACCTTTGATACCACAACACAGATTTCCATCACTTGAAGTGAAGAACATTTCTTAAATGCAGGATCACAAATACGCTATAATTGACCAGATGACCGGCCATTTAGAGAGAGACAAGACATAGCCAATGAGCCTCATCTCCTTGGAGAAAAGGCAGCTGTTCTTAAGAGGGTCTTAAGCCTATTCTGAATGCAGTGTTATGAACAATGTAGAAGTTGAATAGCTGATAACAGTACCTATCACATGGAGCTCATTCCTGTATTTCTTCAGAGCACCAAATGACAACCAGAACCTTGAGTAAGCTGCTTCTTGCTTCTTCAGAAGGTTTTACCATCCTCTTTTCCAGCCTTTGCTGCTGCACATGTGCCTAGCTCCCCTGTTGTTTCCTTCAGCAGTGATGCTGACTTCCTCTTGTGGAATATCTAAAATGGCCAGCGGACAAGCCAAAGAGGTGGAAGATGGAAACTTTGCAAAATTTTATTTGTCAGATAAATCCAAAGTCATGGCAAAAAGATAAAATAGTTGTGTGACCAATACTTGTTATCCTTGGTACCCTGTGGATAACAACTGTATTGGTGATTTTGTATTTCTTCTTCTATGGTATATATGGATTGACAAATATTAAGGCTACATAAGTTGGTTGCTTCTAAGCTGAACTTGGAGAGAGAGCATAGCACTAAAAAAAGCTATATATTTGTAGCATGTGATTAAATTATGTAATTAAACTAATGCATGTGTATATTTGATATTATAGTACCTTTTCCATAGAAAAAATGTTTAAATCTTAAAATTGTAGAATGATTTAATTCCACATGACTCACAAAATTTTACCTTCTTAATAAAAACATCTTTACGGTTGTTGGAACTCTGTAAGTTAATAGCATCTTTGGACCAAATTCATTTCTGGCCTAAGCCTGGATAACTCCCCTTAATGGTAACAATGTATAATATTTAATGAAAACCCATAGCAATAATTAAGTGCAAAATCCCTTAGTTTACCTCTATGGAAAGTTGACAGTTCTTTCAGATACAGTTTTAAAGCATTTCAGTTTCAAAGCAAACTTGATATCCTTGTTTTCTTCCACAATTCTTAAAAGACTTTTCATCTAGCTGTAGCACTTTTTGCCCCTATAATTGACTCATATGGAATGAAGTATGAACTTCTTATAAAATGGAGCACTAAATATTGACTGGTACAGTACACTACAGTTTGGAGAAAAAGGTGATGTGCTTAAATGGTACATTGGATATTAGGGGTTTTTTTTAATTTAATTACTACAAACCTCCTGTTATACTTTTCAGCAGTTGATCTTCCAAAAATATGAATAAAACAATAAGCACACAGATAAATATAAAATTAGGAAAGTGGTTTGTATAATTACATGTAAAATCTTGAGAAATCTTATTAAACTGGTTTCATTACATGTTTGTCACTGCAGGCTAATATGGATCTAGCAGATTCTACCCTACTATACAAGTAAAGAAAAAATGTTAGAAGCTCTACACCGATGGTTCTCAATCTTTTTAGACTCAAGGCACCCCAGAGAAAATGCCAGCTCTTAGCTTTCACTTGTTTTGTGAGTGCAGAAAAATAACAGAGCAATTCTTCTGTTTTAAAGAACTCAGACCACAGGTCAGACTGTTTTGGACACACTGAATTCTTATTTGAAATCTCTGGGTTTATCTTGTGACTCACATATTTGCACACTTAAAAGTGCTAAGAGTGTGCAGCATCTCATGGTACCCTGGCTGAGAAGCACTGCTCTTTGCATGTGCTTCTTCTTGAGTTTCTTTTCCCTCAATGTCAGCAGTTGTAGATGTTTAGTGTGGTAGCTGGTTGTGTTAGACAGGGGGGTGTTGGAAAAGAGATAGGGCAGGTAAAAGTGGTGATGCAAAGATGATTACCCTTGGGAGGCAGACTTAAAGCTGTGGTGTGTAGTATCTGGTGTACTGTAGCTGTGGTGGTGGAAAGAGGTTGCTGCAGGCAAAAGTATGTACAATTAAATACGTACTTACAAAATCAAGGTGGCTTAACCTTTATTTCCATACTTTTGTATCACATATTTTGTTTGCATATGAACCCTACTTTATCCACAAGTTTTTGTGGCTTTTTATTTTTAAAATAAGCAGAGGTGAGGAAGGGAGATAACCTGAAACACCTAATACATTCCATATATGTAAACTGAATACAGGTACTTACTGGCTTGCAGCTAGTGGTTTCCTAGCCTTGTAATAGGGCATATGGTTGCTCTGGCCTCAGCCTGCCCACACAGCTATGGTTGTAGTGGCCACAGTTTCAGACCCAGTCCTCTTTGTTGTATGATATATATATATATATATATATATTTTTTTTTTTTTAAGTAACACTTAGCTTCCATAATAAGAAATGGCAGCATGAATTAATTTAAGCTAACTAAGAGGGCCCAACAGGAAAGGCTTGTTCTAAAAATATATGAGATAAGCAAGCAGGTAAGGAGAAGAATGTGAAAAAATAAGATGTTTTATATATGAAAAAAAATCCTAGCATTTTTTAAAAATGCATATCTCTATCTGGGGTAAGATTTTAAATCGTGCGCGGCCGCACAGTAACGCAGCCGCACAGTAACGCAGCTTAGAGAGAACCTTGATCCTGGGCTCCTCATGCACCAGTCAATCAGCTGACTGCTGCTACTAGCTTCAGGGGTGCACTGAAATCAAGGCCTCTGGTTAACCCCCAGGCTCAGAGTAGCAGTCAGCTGATTGGGGCTCCCTATGCAAAGATTTGCTTTATGAACATATGAAATGCGAAAGAGCACAGCCTCATTCTCCAAAATGCAGAAGATTCTTGGTATTCCTTTATTACATAACATTTTGCATGTTTCACCCCCATCACTTGTGAGCAAGAAGAAAGAATGGATTAAATTCTATTATCATCTGACTAAGTGGTTCAGAATTCAAGGGAACCATACTATAAAACAGTAATGAAGTGCTTTACAGCTTAAGCATCCTAACCCTGTTTAAGATGTACACAAAGAATGGCTGAAATCATTTTCTGGCTCAGAGTATAGTAAGTAATGAGATGTCAGCAAGTAATGAGATGTCAACAAGTAAAATACAAATCGTGCAATAAAATGCAATCTGTGAACAGATAAGTTGTCATTTTCAGGCTTCACAGTTAACAACTGCAACTGAGGGACTCTTGTAGCATAGATAATAGCTCATGAAGGCAGACAGTAGACTTTTATGAAGTAAATATATTTAATTGTGAGGCAAATATAAAGCAGTTGTAAACCATAAGGGATAGACAAAATAAAGTGCTTAACATAATATAGTATGCATTTTGATCACCCATTATATAAACTGCTTATCACAGCCCTGCTTTTAACTAATACATTCATGTTGCTATAGTTTTAGAAATGATTAACAAACTTATTTATGGCTTGTTCACAGAAAAAAAGGTCAATCTTAAGTTTGTGCACTTATCAGACGTTCTGAACATTTAACAAACACTTAAATGATTCTTTTCCTGAGAAGTACATATTTAAAAAATACAGGATTTTCTGGTGTAGTTCATGGTTTTAGTAGTAGAACCTAGGGGTGCAGAAAGAGATACAGAAATGCACATAAACACAGACTTCACCCAACAGCAATGCAGAAGACAAAGGCTTGAGGTAATTAGTAGAAACAAACTTAGGTGTAAGGAAAATATCACATCCAAGTCAAAGCATTAATCCATTAACTCCATTTTGGAATAGACAATATCACATACAGATTTTAATTCATCCATCTTTTGGTTCTGAAGGAAGGGATTTGTGCGTTTTGAAAGGTTTATTTATACACATATCTTCTCTTCCTTTAAACGACTGTTCTTTTTATTTCAAATGTCTTCATTTCCATCAAGAAGAGAGTTTCATTTAAAAAAAATCCTTTTGACTTCTTGATAAATCCTGGCCACAGTTTCAAGGGAAGAAGGCATGCAAAGTGTGTATGAATTTGATAAGGTGAAAACATCTCACTTAAAACTAAATTATAGGATTATAATGCAAAATAAAAGTTAACGGGTACAAACATGTAATTGGGCACTAGCTTCCAAATAACTGATTTTTATAAAAGTTTTCATGCTATCTGTACCAGGTCCAGTGGTGGCCACAAATGAAGATTTCATTTAACAAATTAACAGCTTTGTAACAATGTTAATTGGGGAAGTTCTTTAGAATATCTGCTAAATGACAGCCTTCAAAAGTAGAATGTTACATGTAATTACCTTGGCAAATATTAAGAATATCACTCTTTGAAAACATCATTATATCTATAAATTAATGCCTTCACTGCAAAATGTCTTTCACCTTAGTAAAGCTGTTTATTACTGTGGATCATGAAAGGAAAAAAATATTTTATTAATACAAATTGCACATGCCCCAATTCTTCAACTTAAAAAAATATTTCCAGTTGTCATGCTATGTAGAAACCTTGCAGAAACAAATATACTGCCAGAGACATGGCCAAGAAATAAGTGGCAACAACGTCATAATTCTATTTGTGCCATTCAGTAATTCATAGCTTTCTGTTCATTATGGACAATGTCAAAGTGACTGTTGGCTATTTCTCCAAGTAGATCACTTCGTAGCTAATGCTAGCTGACTTCATACTGTTTTGCAGAGAAGGCTAGATGAAAAGTGTGTTCTGGTAGGCTAAAGTGGATCTGGCTTGTAATTAAATAGTTTAATGGTGAATAGCTCCCTGTATGTGTCCTCTATTAAACAAAGTATTCTCCTCCTCATATGTGTCCTCCAATAAAGTATGATGAGTTTCATATTCATGATGTGGCAGTGAAGATTCTTTTATGGTAGCAGATATCAATTGATTCCAGGAGATATTAATATTTTTAAAAGCATGCAAAAGAAAAATGCCTATGATTATAGTAAAAAATCCACTGAGGGTCCCAATGATATCACCGAGGTTCATGCTATTCCATTCTTGGAACAAGATGATGGAGCATGTCACAACTATCATGGTGAAAAACACATAATAAATCGGTGTCACTAAAGATGTATTAAACACATCCAGTGCTTTGTTGAGATAATTGATCTGAATGCTGACTGACAGCACCAACGTCCCCACCAAAATATAAACCAGTGGATGTAGGTAAACTGGCTTCTGCTCCAGCATCTCTTTAATGGCAATGCCCAGGCCTTTGATGGATGAAACAGAGAAGGCACCAATCACGGAACAAATTGAGATGTAGACCAGGATATTCGTCTGACCTATCCTCGGAGCCACAACAAAAATCAACACTAGGGAGATGACCATTAGAACAGCAGCAAATGCAATAAACACTGGAAAAAGGGAGGGAGGAAAAAGTGAAAAACATCTATTTTATGTTTAAAACATTTTGATGCAATAAGGCATGAAAAGTTTCACATGTAATTACAAATATGCTTTTCCCCTTATTTTGTAAAAAAAGGCAGCCAGTAAGTTACCAATCTTGCAAAAACATTTTTAAAACATGAAGGTGGTCCCGTCATTTCCCCAAAGGTCATTTCCTTTCATTAGCTAGGCCAAGGGCCTTCCCTTCCCTGGACCAAGTTCACAGCATTTTAGTAAAACAAATCAGGACTGAACTTTTCACTTACTCATTCTGGGCCATCCTTACTTCCACAGTATAATCTCTCAAATTTGCTAATCCTCTCCCTCACAGTTGCAGTTCTCTCTCTCTCTCTCTCTCTCTCTCTCTCTCTCTCTCTCTCTCTCTCTCTCTCTCTCTCTCTCTCTCTCTCTCTCTCTCTCTCTCTCTCTCTCTCTCTCTCTCTCTCTCTCTCTCTCTCTCTCTCTCTCT